AAGATATTGAAAAGTAGCTAGTGCATTTGTAAGTCTAAAAGGCATGACATTATATTCAAAGTATCCATACCTTATTCAAAATACAATCTTCCATTCATCTCTTTTATTAATACAAATCAAGTTGTACACTCCTCATAGATATATTTTTGTATAGATCTTAGCTTGATTTAGTTGATCAAGAAGTCCAGATATCAAGGATAAAGGGTTCTTATTCTTGATGGTAATCTTATTGAGTGCTTGATAATTTAAGCAAACTCGTAGTGATCCATCTTTTTTTTTATAAATAAGATAGACACTTCAACAGGAGATTTTGAATGACATATGAAATTTTTAGCCAAGTTATCATCAATGTAATTCATGAGTTTAGCCAACTCATTTTTTGATAAACTATAGATTGGACTAAATAGTGGCTAACTTCTCTCTTTAAGATTGATTGAGTAATCATATGGACGATGCTCTGATAGAAAATCTATATTTTTCTTTTCAAAAATATCTTTAAAAACTTGATATTGATTTGGAATACTACTTAAAGTCTTTCCATCATTAAAAATGGATGTGACATAAATAACAAATGGCAATCCTTTCTTTACAACATATAAGAAAGCTTTTGCACCTATGAGTATAGATTTGGCTATATTAGACTCATGACTTTTCACAAAACTCTTAATAGTGTTATGAAAAAAGACAAGTTTACAAGAAATCCAATCTATCAAAGGATTATATTTTTTTAATCATAATAAACCTTAAATGACTGGATTAGAGAGAGATCTAATTATATTAAAAATTATAGAACTATTATGACTATTTATTCCTACATCTATAGAAAGTGTTTCATAAATAATATCTCTAAAAAATAATGGACAGCTATCTATGACTTCTACATGTAAGGATTTAGTTTATTGTACTAATGGTATTCTATGGCTTTTAAAAAATTCTTCATCTAAAAAACAAGCTCAAGCTCCTAAATCTATTAAAGTAGAGGTTTTGTGATTATTAGGTCCTAAATATACATCTACTTTAAAATAAGGAGAGGATTCTGAGGAGAGGATAGGACCTTTATTTATACAAGATTCTAGCCACACAATCCCTATTATAGCTAAAAAAATTTATTTTTTAACATTTTTTCATCTTTAATAGTTGTACTCCTCATTTTATAGTGGCATCGTTTCTTTGGATAATATTGAGTAGTGTGCTTAACTTCTTCACAATATAAACATAGTTTTTTTTTAATGACAATAAGTCTTTTCTTTTTTAGTAAGAAATTTAAAATATATCACATCAATTTATATGTCTTTTAGGTCTAAATATTTAGATTGAGAGATCGTCAGTGTTGTCATTGAATTGTAATAGCATGGAGGTTTTTTTGCACGATTCTCAAATTGAAACTCAAAAAGCCTATTGTCACACTTCATAATAAAATCAATTGTTTGATTCAATGTCTAAAGATCAGATAAGATGAGTATCAATTTCTTTACCTCATATTGTAATCCATAAAGAAATTGGATGATAAAGGGAACATCATTTCATTTAACATCACTCCCTAATTGTTAAAATTGTGAAGTATATGATGTCATTCATTGATTTTTTTGTCACAAGATAAAAATTTTATTAGTTGCAACATGAACTACATCATATTTTCTATACGTGAATCAAAATTCTGCCAAAAAAGCCTCCAAATTGTCTAATATTAGATCTCATTATTTAAAAAAAGATAAAAACTATGATAATGATGAACCTGAAAGAAGTGTAATGATGAATCTAACTTGCGATCCTGGTGTCGTATTACGTGCTATCTTGCTTGAGAATGCACTAGACGTTTGGCTGTGGAAGATAAAACAATGTTTTGCAAGTATCGAGGTAGGCTAGTGGGTTTCAACCATCTAAATACAAACTATTTTGGATTTCAATGTAAAAGCTTAATCCCAATACAAAGTACTTATAAACACTATTTTTAATAAATTCAAGATATTATAAGCACAAAATCTTTTGTTATTTGTTAGTTTTTATTTATTTTATTTTATTTTATTTTATTTTATTATTTATTATTTTATTTTTATTTTTATTTTTATTTTATTTTATTTTATTTTTAACCCTAACTCTAGACAGCAAGCTTCGGCAAGCTGTAATTCTCAATCTGACTGTCCGATTGTTGTAAACTTCTACCACTAGTGTCTTTGCAAGCCTTCTAAATGCTCAAGAAGTTTCAATCCAATCTAACTTACAGGTTGCAAGAAAATGTCGTAAATCCATATTGATATATCTTGATTGCCGCCTAGAAGTCCTCAACTTACCACGCCAAAAGTCACCTTATTCCAGCTGGTAGAACTCTAGATATTACAAAAACCCTAAACAACCCCAATCTGCCAACTTTCGATACCTCTTTACACTAATCGTCAAATATCTTCTATTTGTTCCGTCAGATTAACATAAACTTTTGTATGTACTCGACATACTCAATCCTCTAGACACCTCTAAATTTCAACTGCAAAAGTTTCTCCAATTTCACAAAACAGTCAAGAGTACCAGCCTTAACTTTATTGTAAAAAAAAATCCTAATCACCAATACAAATATCGACTTTCAGCAACGATTGCAAAAGTCCTTACAAATCCTATAAAATCCAATTCTACACCTTTTGAAGGAGCTTGAAGTTAGCTCTCTGACCCCAAAATTCCGATCTCCGAATGCCCTCTTCTTTTTCCTCTCCTTTCTTTTAATTCCATGAGGTCTTCTATTCTTCCGCCTTAGACTCCGAATTAGAACAACTTGAAATGGAACCGAAGCTTCTGTATTTGGGACCTCATTGGGTTGCCCAACCGAGTCAGGTCTCATATTGGGTAAGAGGCCCATAACAGGACCTGGATTGGATGTCCCGTAATTGGATCAAATTGGTCCTTCACATTAGACTCACCCGAATATTGAATTGGTCCTTTCTCCTTTTGTCAGCTCTTGGTAAGAATGGCTCGGACTTATTCTACCCGATTTATCAAAAAATCTTGTGGACCTCAATTTATGTCCTCAATTTTTTCCTGGCTTTGAATCTGCTGATCTTGATTATTGAAATTGAACGGAGCATTACATTGCTGATAAGTATGCCCCAACTACTTGCTATTCCTACACATTGGCGCGTAATTGTCAATGGCTCTGGGATTGGAACATTCACTAACATAATCACCATTCTATTTGCAACGGAAACAACAAAGTGGTCTTCTTGCTTCCCATCACGCATATTGAGTGTTTCCACCGATATATACCTACTAGGCTTGTTCTATGTAGGGTTAGAAAATGATCCTGGTCATCCTATTGGTACGGAGGATACTTGGTTTGATGACGCCGGTGGAGCATACGCTATTGTCAGGTTCGATGGTACAGCTTGCAATGGCATGACATTAACTGACCCTTGAATATTGGCATTGGAATTGGCCACCGTTTCTAACATCTAAGATGATTAAATATTAATAAAACTTTTTGACTTATATTTTCACCATATAGTCGTGTTGCAACACGACACCAGTGTTGGATAGCTTTAGGGTTGAAGTTCAAACACAACTTGTACTTAATTAATAAATCTTCAAAACTTGGATCTTGTACCATCAAACTTCTTAAATAAGGCAACTCTGGGTTCTCTAACACTAGAAATGTGTTCTATTATAGGAGAAGGGATGTGATTTAGTATAGATGTTGAAGCAGCTCCAATTATGTATGTATCTTCACTTCCTGCCATTTTTGTTGCTCCAAGTGGAAATAATAAACCAAGTTGATGTATTGCAAGCATCAACTCTCTCAATTGCTCTTGTATTTGTGCTATCGCACACTTCATTTCAAGAAGCTCTGCTATGATGACAATTAAAAAAAAAAAATTCTAATATCGTTGAAGACAAGCAAAAAAGAGGACTTGAGGATAAAGAAGATACTAAGAACAATATTAGTTTAGAAGAAGGTAATCCGCAACTTCTAATACCCTTATGTTTTATCATGAGAAATGGATAATCTATTCTTAATTAAGAGAAGACAAAGCTCTAACATTATAAGTATATTCTTGTCAATTTGTTAAGAACATGAACTAAAAGAAGATGTATAAACTTGGGAAATCTGTGTCAAAAGAAAAGTGACAAGATAGAAATAAAGTAGTATGTATATTAAAAGGAAACTAGAATGACTATTACCAAAACACAAGGAAACTAGAGACTCTTGAATCTAGACTAGAAGTAAGAAATGAGTTGAAAAGAGTGAAGAAGATTTCACTATTGCCTCTATACATACTATCTACTTAGGATATATGTGGTGACATTCTATAGAATCTCTAAAAACATATTGACTTTGCATGATACGTATCTTGATTTACAAAGCAAGTTTTTTATATGCCCGACACATAATTAGCTTGTTTTGCAAGCTACCAATAAATGTGGCACATGGGTAGCTTCTTAACCAAGTTTCTAATCTACCAATCAACTACAAACATATGTAAAGTCAAAACAACATCTAAGAAGCATTTAAGAAGCTTCTCTAAAAGGTATTATGAAATTAATCTACTTTTATCTAATTCTACCTACTTAGGTAATGATTACAATAAGTATATATTTGTGACAATATATATATATATATATATATATATATTATTTTTAATTATTAGCTATTCAAAATCTTATAAAATTTTATTAAATCTATTTATTAAAATTCATTAATATTCATAGAATATATATATATATATATATACTTATTGGAAATTTAAATTAAATATTTTAAAAAAGACACCTATAAAATATATTTACATTTGAAAACTAAAATCACCATCACAATATTAACTAAATCTAAGTGATCCAAGAAGGAATTTTCCAAAACCATTAAAGTGATAAGTGTAGAATAACTTATTGAGAGCAATTTAGAAGTATTTCAATGATTATTAATTTTTTTCAAAAAAAGTTGGTTATATTCTTACAGAAAATAACTGCATATTCTGCCAATAAAGTTGCAATCAAAATACTCACGGACATGATTTGTGTGACGAATGAAATACAAATTTATTTAGGTACAGCAGGTAATTTAAATCAATCAACTTGTAATTGATAATAAATCGTAATCATCAGCTTCATTACACAGTTACCAAAAACTTATAAAATATTGGAACACCGAGAGAGGCTGAGAGGGAAAAACATTATAATGCCTCACTACAACGGCAATGGACCAGGTGCAAAAGTCTGTGTGTGTGAGTGTGTATGTGCATGTCCACTTCTTTGAGATGCGCCAGGGGTTTAGGGTTTTGAAGTCTTACAGCTTTGGCATGGATGGATACAAACTTTCTGGATGCATCCAAATACATTTTTCAACTTGCTTTATATGTATAAAAATGAGAAAAAACAAGGAAAAGGAAACTGAATTCGGTGCGTCCAACTGCAGTAAAGGGAGGTGCGTCAGGACCTGATTTTGATGAGCAGATAGATGATTCCGAGAACACAGTGTGAATCACTAGAGAGCAGGATGTGACAACCGATGACATTGGTGTTGGTGGATGCCGTGAATCCGTGAGTGAGTCTCGAGAGGGGGCCATCGTCGAGCACAAACAGAACCTGCCATACTTTGCCACATAGTTTTTACAATATGAAACAATTTCGACTTATGCAGGCCAACTCAGATTATGGAATCGTGCCTAAGCTCGAATGAGCTTGAATCGACTACCATCTCCAGATCCTGCTCTTCGTCTTCCAAGTCACAATGGTTCTCAAATTGTGGCAGTACCTCCCACATCTTCCTCAGAAGGTCGAATGCGATGATTTGTAGGCGCTTACTCCGCCAGAAAAAGATCCGGTGCTTGTGTCCGACGGCTTTAAGTTGGGAAAGCTTTCCGCCCTTCGATTTCTGGCTCAAGAATGAGTACTGATTGCCAGGCATGACCACCAACTCTGAGAATTGTCGACTTTTGTGTCCAAGGACTAAGACAGTTATGGAGCTGCTCGACTCAATGGCAGCAAAGAGTCTGCCCTCGCATTGGAACAGCACAAAGAACTTGGTGCTCTTCGGTTTGGAGAGAGGGATACGCTCGTTTGTCCATCGTTCCTTTTGAACGTCAAACGAAATCAAGAAATTGGTGCAATAGCAATATAGAAAGCCCTCGCAAAGTGTAGGGCAGAGCCTGTTCGTCATGAACTGGAACATACTCTCTTGTGACCCAAGTGGAGGGCTTTGCTTCAACAGCGTCCAACCACCCAAGTTGGAATTGTAAACCTCAGTTTCCTCCTCTCGAATTGCTATGATTCGGAATTTGGTGGAGTCTTCGTTGTCCACAAGGAGGACGTTCACTGCTTCACCCCAGGTATCCGTGGATCTTGGAATTCTTTCCCACTTACCAGTATATGGATTCCCAACCACTACCTGTGACATGTCCGAGGAGATTTTGAATCCGAGGAGACTTTTTCCGTTCCCTACAAGCAGCACTCAACTAGACACCCATTATTGAGCTTCTCATTTCGTTTCTACACTGCTGAGTATCAGCACATTCGGGTAGCACGAAAACAAACGGCTGCTCACGTAATCGCATGAAGCAAGGGCGGGGCAAACGATCATGGCAATAATATTGATACTCACCGGCTAGAGGACAAAGGCTGACTTGCATTTGCACTCGAAGTGGGGGCAGTGGCACCCATTTGCAAGTTGTGCTGTCATAACCGTACCACCAGTGTTGAGTGGAATCTCGAATGAAAATGAGCGGACAATGTATTGTAGCAGTAGTACGATCGTGGAAGTGGCAAGTATTGATGAGAATTTCAATAGTTTCCTTCCAGCGTTTGCACACGGATAGTGCTCGGACGGCGTAAGAAACATCCAGTTTCTCGAGAACACATCGTAGCATTTCGTCATTGAGAGCATCCATAACCATGAGGTGAGCTGCTTGACTACTTGCTTTAGCTCGTCAAAGTCCTTTATCCTAATGACTCGAAGCAATGAAACGTTCCTGCCTGCACAACCTTCAACATTATCCCGGGGATAAAAGCGGAAGAATCAACCCGTGGCCTTGTGATTTATTTGAGCCCAGGTCCCGCTGCCATAGCTTACATGCAATGCGTGGCTCGATTATCGTTACTATCAGCTTCCTAACCAAACCTGCGTCACAGTTAGTGGTTGAAACAAGACATGGCACCAAGAACGCCGAGCTTCACAAATTTACACAGAAACCCCTCAGTTTCAGGACGCCCAACTCTTTGAACTCTGACAAAGCATCGATGCCATTTCCTTACCGCATACCTCATCAAAAAATAGATGCTTATCTAGGAGGGGTGGCAGCTGGAAAATCGTCCGTCTATGTCCTCTCTACCGACTGCTGAGGAAGAAGTGAAATATCTGAGCCAAGTTGTGTTGCGCAAGCAGCTACTTAGCCTGGCCGCGAATTTGCAACTTGCTCTCTCGAGACTACGGAGGTACAAAATCCTAATTTGGACACAGAAGTGGATTCGGAGAGTGTGAAGCTAGAAAATTGGGAAATTCCTTGAAAGGGTAGAGCCGTACCTTGTTGACACATGGCTTTCTTGAGGAGGCCGCGAAACAGAATTGCACCAGAGCGAACTTTGTTGACATTCAAGAAGGAAACAAATGGATCGAACGAAATGAAACTTTAAGCGAGATCAAAGCACCAGCAAAACTACCACACCAGCTCTGAAACCGGCACACGATCAGTTGAACAATTCGACACTGGAGCTTTGAAGACATTAGCGTGCCCAAAGTGTGAGGAAACGATAACTTGGAAGATGCTACCCTGTACTGTGTCCAGTCAAATGTTCAAAGTTCCACAAAGGAGGAGCAGGAGGAGAAGGAGCAGAAGCAGCAGCAGTAGGGGCACCGCAGATTGGAGTAAACAGGAGCATGGATCCCATCACTTCATTCCACGCGGAGGCAGTAGAAACTGTGAGGTGATGTAATCCTGAAGGGGGTACGACACTTCCAGAGGAGAAAGTCCCACCATAAGGTCTCAAGGTCATGAAGGGGCCAAGAGTGGATGAGGACCGAAAACCGACACCACCACAGACAATCTGGAAATTTGCGAAAAGCTTGCGAGCCGTAGGCAGCTGGAGATGACAGCAAGCAGCACCAGCATCAGCACGCCAGTGCAGCAGCACCCACCTCACTACACTGCACCCCACCCCCATCGCATCTTTCGAACTCCCACTTCGGCATCAGGGAAGGACAGGGATGGGAACGACATGGCACCCGCCGTCTCCCCCTCCTCCATCCTTCTCCCCTCAATTCGTAATTCTCATTCATGGGTGAATGAATGCAGAAAGGAATGAATGCCTCTTGCTCTCCAGTATTCCTTTCCACTGTGGTGGGTGGGTCACCCTCCTGCGCCTGTGACACCACCACCATCACCACCAACTTCCTCCAGTCCTCCGCGACACCACCACCATTAGTATGCTTGGTATTATGATTATTACAATTATTCTATTATTTCTCCCGGTCTCCCTTTATTTGCACGTGGTTTCTATTCCAGGCGGCGGTCAACTAAGAAGGTTGAATGGACTACTATTTCTGAAGTGTGCTGTTTGAGTCATTCTTCAATAAGCAATTCTTTACTGTAAGTAAGTTTCCAGGAAAGAAGATAAAAGTTTCATTTTTATTTACTGATTTGAGGTGCTTTTGGTGCTCAATATAAAACATTTTTTATATGCAAAATATGGAAATTGGGATGCGGGGGGAGGGGGGGGGGGGGCAGATGAGGTACAAAAGAAGGAGAGATGGCCCTTCTTACATGTATGAATCTCTCCGCCAAAATTGCTAGTTGAGTGACTTAGGTGGGGAAAGAAGAGGTGGATAGATTACTTTCTCTACCATCTGTTAAGTCAAAATGTTATTATCCTAATTAGCAACACAGTTTGGGAACCCTATTGCAAATGTGTGAGGCTGTAGTAGTGATATTGTGCTTTACTAAACAAGGACAATGAACAAAAAATTACAAGTAGAGAAGACCATGGATTTTAAAAAGGTGCCAAAAGTGTATTTTTTTAATCAATCAAAAATGTTGTTTCATTTTAATTAATATCCTTGTTTATAGTAATTATTATAATTATAGTGAATTTTTACAATATTATCATTAAGTTTATGCTACAAGTACATTCCAAATTACTACATGTACATCTATTATGTTTATATATACATCCAAGACCATTGATTAAGTGCTCTAGAATCCCTCTTCCTTGTTTTAATGCAAGTCTTGGACCTCTTCTTTCTTTTTTCTTGTTCTAATATAAGTTCCAATCTCCCTATTTTGTTTTATTTTATTTTTTCTAATTGCATGTCCTTCGTCCTTATCAAAGCAAAGAAGTCCAAAACTTGTGCCAAATCAAAAAAAAAAAAAAAAAAAAAAAAAAAAAAAAATCTATAATATAGCCAATTAAAGGCCTTAGATATGTATATAGATAAAATATGTGTATATATATATTAATTTAGAATGTTCTTGTAGCTTGAGCCTTATCATTATTTATTTAAGTGGCATTCCTAGGTATTGCATAAGTAAAAAGATAATATTACATACATGTATTTTATTGTAATAATGATGGCTATCAAAGTAAGGATTTGGTTTAAATTTTAATATATCTTAGTCTTTATAACAACTTAAATCTTATATATCAAAGCTACTATTTGTTTGTAACTTATTTGGTTGATATTTGTTTGTTACTTATTGATGCAAGCTTTCAAGAAATCATTTATCTTTAATGTCTCTTTTTCCATATTCTTCCTCTTTTTATTTTTCTTCTCTATCAATAGCTTATTATCATAGATATAATCAATAATTATAATTATATAAATAAAAAAAGAAGTAGAAATAAGTAAATATCACAAATATATATAGATATTCAAATAAATACCTATATGATTAGATAGAAGTATGTAAAAGTAGATAAATTTCATAATACCTTTTAGAGAAGCTTTTTAGAAGCTTCATAGATTGTCAAGGACATGGATCTAGAAGAAAGAAAATACCCAATATACTCTTGTGTCATTGAAGAGAACTAGAAAGTCACTCAAAAGGTGATGTAATATTAAACTAGAATAGCTATTATCAAAAACAAGAAGACTAGAAAGTCTTGAAATAAGACTAAAGACTTAAAAGGAGTTGATAAGAGTGAAGAAGGCTTCATTCTTGCCTCCATATTTACTCTTAATTAAGAGCTATGTTGTTGTATTGTAATTGCTTACAGTATGTAAAAATTAATTAAGATATATAATATGTTTGTAAGTCTTGATGTAGATTAGAATGATTAGTAAATAAATTTAAAGAAAATTGATATAAGAAAATTTATTTGGAGATTTATCTATTTTGATTATAGTGTTTATATTATGTAGGATTCAGATATTTAGTATAAAGCTTAACAGAAGTATGGAGCCTAAAGAAGAAATTCTTAAATAATAGGAGGCTTATTGGAAAGGATGAAAGCAAGGCATGGTTGGATGAAGGCAAGGAATGGGGATCTTTATTCCTATTGATCGAAAGTCATGCCCAATGGACTTCAAGGAGGTTGCCTAAGGCCTTATTAGGGATTAGGATTTTTCTTTCGAATCTACTCGAGCTTTGGAGGCTAGGGTCAGCAAGTTCAAAATTTTGAATATAATTTGGGTGAGAAGTTTGTATAGTTTGGAGTTTTTGTGAAGGAGATATAGATGTTCTAAGTTAAGGTGTCAAATTTATACCTATTGTCACTCTTTGAAGCATAACATATGCGTATGGAAAGCAATAAAAGATCGGTGACTGGAGTTGAAAAGATCAATTTCTTAATTACACTTTATTTATATTTTTTGATGAATTCTAAGTTTGGATGAAAGAGTTATAGGACATTAAAGACAGCACAAGTAATTTAAAGGCAATAAGTGAGTCATTTTGTTGATAGTAATGATTGGAGCCATATCTTGAGTTTCCAAATGAATTTTTGGCTCAAATATTTTGAAAGTATGTGTTATTAAGTTAAAAAGCTATAGATCAAAGTTTCATAGAATTTAAGTACTTATTTTGTGAGATATGAAGAAAATAGCACACATGTGTACGTAAGCTAGGATTTAAAGCTACTGTTAGGATTTTGATGATATCTCAAGATCCGTAATGAATTTATGGTTGAATTTTTTTGTGGTAGTTTTTGAAAGTATACAAATAATTTTAGTAAAATTCTAGATTGTTTGGACGGTTTGATTGTGAGATATAAGCTGTTGAAATTTGGGAAATATTTCTCATAAGGATATATAAGGTTTTAAAATACTTTATCATACATTTGGGTGTTTTCTTGGTACTTCGGCTTATGTATTGATGTAATTGCCCTAAAAGAGAAAATATTATATATATAAACTTGGTACTTTTATATCTTAAACTTGATTGAGTATTTAGTGGGTTGCCAAAAGCCCAATGCTCTCTTGAGGCAAACTCTTTCTATCTTGACAATGTGGCGATGTCCTATTGGACCTCCAAAATGTGTTGACTTTGTCAGCCACGTCTTAACTTGCAAGACAAGTTATCTATGTATGTGCCACATAGTAAGCTTATTCCACAAGCTACCAATACATGGTTAACTTGTTGGCCATGTTTCTAACCTATAAATACACCTAAAGTCAAGCATATCTATGAAGTTTTTAGAAAGCTTCTTTAGAAGTCTTTATGAAATTAATCCATATTTACCTATTTCTATCTAATCATATAAGTAACTATTGAAATAAATATATATATATCCATGATATTCTCCTTCCTTTTAGGGATGAGTTCCACAAGAAGTGGTCATCATCTTTTATGGATCTTTATAGTTCTTCATCTTAGTTTTGATGCATGTTGTCAATGAAAGGCCTCAACTTTCTTTGTTGCATTTACAAGATTCTTTGCTGGCTTCTATGTGTATTTACTAATAATATATCCATGCCAATGAACAAGATATTCTAATCTATTTTGGCTTTGTAGTAAATCTAAGATTTCTTCCACTTCAAATTCTTGATTATTATCGACTTCTATAGGATGAGGTGGCATTTGACTTCTTTTCAAAATATTCACTGTCTTATATGGCTCAAGAAGGGATACAAAAAATACAAGGTAGATCTTTATAGATTCTAATAGATGTTATCAATAAGCTATGTCCACAATTAGGAAAAGGTCTCAACCTATGATAGTCCTACTTATCACAAGGGCAAGTAGTTTTGATATTGTAACAAAATAACCATACCTTGTCACTTATGTTGAATTCTGGTTCCTCCTTGTGACAGGCATCTATCTTAATCTTTTATCATTCTTGAGCTTCATTTAATTGTATCTTTATTATTGTATATAGCTTTGACAAAAAATTTGCTAAATCTTTTACCCCTGGATTATTAACTCTTGAAAAGTCAAAAGTATCAAGTTATGGATGATAACCATAATTAAAAAATAAAGGTATTTGTTGTATAGAAGGATGCATCATATTATTATAAGTAAATTTTGCCAATGGCAAGAGAGTTGTCCAATCATCTTACTGGTAATTGATAGTACACCTTAAATATTATTCTAAGACTTGTTTTATGTACTCCATTTGTCTATCAGTTTGAGGATAAAAGACCAAAGATAATTTTATATCTACTTTTAGAATCTTAAAAATGATTTTCTAAAATCTTGATCCAAATTGAGTCTTACTATCCAATATAATATCCTTGAGTAATCCATGATACCGATAGATATTATTAAAAAAAAGCTTAGCCATTTTTTTACCTGTGATAGATTTTGTACATATTACAAAATATGCCATTTTGATAAAATAATCTATTATTATAAATATAGAATCATATAAACTTGAAACTAAAAGATCTGTAATAAAATCCATAGAAATGAAAGACCGTGATTGTTTTGAAATTGGTAACAGCTGAAGAAGTGCATAAAATCGATGGTCAGGAGTTTTGGATTTTGAACAAGTATCACATCATTGTACAAAGTCTTTAACTGCCTTCCACATTTGAGACCACCAAAAATCTCTTAATATTAGTTCCTAAGTCTTGTTGTATCCAAAATGTCCAGCTGTTAGAAAATCATGACAAACTTGAAAGACACATAATTGTGCGTCACTTTTTGAAATATATAGGCGATCTTTGAAATATAGTGGATTTTTCTTAAATTCAAACTTTGAAGTATAATAGGATTTAGAAGAAGTATTCTTAATATCATGAACAAGAAGATCAGAGGACATATTTGATTGAATTTACTTGAAAAAGG